CTTCTACATATATATATATATATATATATATATATATATATACATAATTTTTTGCAAACATAGCTGTTTTATATCATGTTAGGATACTAAAGAGACTGTTATTATAGATTAGGTTATTACTATGGATTTTTATTACATATTGTTATAGAGATTATTTTTTTATCATATATGTTGTGTACTGTTTCAATATTATGTTGGGAAAGACTAAAAAAGGAAAGATTTTACTATTTTATACTAAAGAGATTTTATACTCATTGTATGGTGCTTAAAAGTGCATTCGTAGAATTTGGTGTATTTGCCAAGAATAATGTGACATCAAGCAAAACTAGGTGAAAAACTTCAGTCCTATCACTAATCCTTTTGGAGAAGTGATTGCTAAGGCAATACAAACATATCCAGCAAAAATGTAATGGGCACAGTATAGCCATGTTTCATCTGAAATAGCCAGTGTCTAAAATACGCAGTAATCCTGGTTCATGCCAACATGCTAGGATCATCTTATCAATGCATTTCCATACGTCGACATGACATGATCATACAATGGCTATAGTATTTTTGAAGGATTTACAAAATATCAGCGGTGAAATTGTCAGGTTTTGTGGAAAAACTTGAACAGAAAGTAACTGATTTCAGTCGGAGAGGTCATATGCCAAACAAGATTGCTTCGTGACCAAGTATCATCTCAAGGCACCATGAGATAATACCTTATCCTGATAAAATAAACACATACGTCAAGTTCAAAAAATGTATATATACAACTGCAAAAATGTATTTTTGAAAATACAGGAAATGTCATGCAAACATTCGTCTGTTCCTTCGTTTTGTTTGCCATCTATGCAAACTTTTGCAACACAACAAAATTGGAGTGCCTACGCAAATGCAGCAACAGCAGCACACAACGAACAGGATAAACGCAAATGTCATAAACACTATCCTGCAATCTTTTTTTCCTCAAAGATTCTCACTCTAATGTGAAGTTTAAATTATGTGTATTCGAAAATCTCGAAATATTTTAGTTGAAGAAATTTAACAGATGTATGACAATCGCATAAGTTGCATCGATACAGCCTAGAAAGCACATGAATTCTCTCTCCCTCCATTCATTAACAAGCAGTTCATTTTTAAAATTACTTTGACATATTTCAAGCTTATCTACTACTTCGATTTTTATAAAAGATACTTACAAAGTTAAATGAGGAAAACATGCGACTCTTGGAAGCGATGAATCGTTACAATGATCGGTGGGATGACATGTGAAAAAACATTCTCTTTTACAGGTTTCCTCATCATCATAACACATTACTAATATTCCCGAAACAGATGATGATCTTTTGACTGGCGCGTCCCCTGATATCCATTCTGTTGCAGCATATGAAATATAATCTTAAAAATTAACTTATATGAATGGCAGAAATGTAACATAGTAAATATATTATTGTCGCATAATCCTTAAATGCTTGAAAAATCTCCACAAATTATCAGAAATATCCTATCATTCAGCGTGGAAATGATAAATTAAATAGCAATAAAAGTAAGTAACACCGTGAATCTATAGACTTGGCAGAATTGTGAATGAAATTCAACAAAAAAAAAAAAA